TGGATGCGATGGCCTGATTTAGACGCGATCGCGCAACCTTATTAGGAGTGCGGCTCACCCGGTGCCGCTCCGGAGTGCATCTCGTACCAAGACCAAATCCTTGCAGACTTGAGGTGATCGGTGTGTCTGTAGTCATGCATGCCGCTCTTAATACAGCAATGACTTCTCTATCAATAATATTGTGCATCATAATGGGCCGGTTTTGGCCTGCAAAGTGATGGTTACTGATTCGAAGAATGCATATAAGTTATGATCTTTTTTGTACATCGTTAAATATCCAGTCCGTAATCGATCGGACGGCCACAACCAAGTAGTTGGGAATTCAGTTCAACGAGATTTGCCTCAATTAAACGTCTTTATTTGGAACAGACATGCATTAAATTATCGTGCAGTTCTTAGATAAAAAAGTACTTGAATTCTTATCTCTATCATGATCCGACTCTCATTTTGCCTTGTATTTTAAACAAAAAAAAACTGCTTGCTTGTCGTGCCTTGTCTATATGATATGTGTTGGCAGAGCAGGTTGATCACAGGAAGGTTGATAAATAATTGTTTTTACAGCTATTATACATTACCGGCGAGGAGGCTAACAGCAAGATTAGAGCAGTGAGTTGTGGGTTCGAAATCCAACTAGCTGTAAAATTTTTGCGCCTCCTGCAACAGTCGACACGCCAGAAATGGCCTAATCTTCAACGCTGACATGACCATATTATTATCATCTCATTACCTGAAGTAATGAACGTAGACTCCCCCAAACAATATCAGTCATTTTTATTTTTGAAAGAAAAATGTTCATTATCAAAAAATGTCAACCAACAATTTCTGTATTTAACAGGGAACGGGCTTACGTAAAATCACTAGTTGAATTATTTAATTACAATTTCATTTTTTTAAATCTAGATTCTATGTGTTTAAACAATTAGCTCGCTTCGGGAAGTTTATCGCTTGTGGTCGTCAGTAATTAAGGTTTTTATGCTATGATTTCGGATGAAACAGACAAAACATGGTTGTTAAAGCGATCAGCCATATTGAACACAGAAACATAATGCCAAAATAATGTGTATTTATTATTCGTGTGATGTTTCTACTTCAAATTTGAGTTCAAATCTTCAATTTCCATGCATGCTAATTTTTTGTCGAGAGAGACCAAACATATCACGAACGTTTGTTGAGTGATGCGAAATGCTGTTGTTTAGGAAGCTCCGCTTCATTCTTACAACACTTCTCTTTAACTTCACTTCTTGTCTGTCTGCTACAAATCAAATAATCGATATTTAACACACTTCTACCTTTCCAATCGAGCTGAAATTTTGCACACATGTGTAAAGTTGGAGACATGCATGATTCAATTGACAGAATGAATAATTTTGCAAAATTTATTTTTTTTAATTTTGAAAATAAAATTTAAAAATTATTTTTTTAATATTTGATAATAAAATTAGAAATTCATTGTACATGTGTAACATCGGAGACACTGGATTCTTTAGAAGTGTTGTCTTTAAAAAGTAATTTTTAAACGCATATTATTTTTTGCATCTAGTGAATGTAAATTTATGTGAAATTTATTGCACTACTTAATTTTGGACAAAAATTTCGGACTGTTCCCATTACAGTTTGTCCCAATTGTCAACGAGCTGTGCAGGACTTTATAATAGTCTCGGTATCCTATATACTATATATAGTCTCGGAAGGATCCCGGTCGTCAAAACCATTTTGCTTGCCGAAATGAAGGACAGGTCCTTTGGGGGTCAAGGGAGCAGAGGGTTCTTCGTGCGCCCACTTATTATGAGCCTAAAAATTACTGGCGGTGGACCGATGATGTTTGTACGAATGCTGAGACGATGTTTAATCAAGAGCTCATGAAATCTAAAAAATATTACTCTTGTTGTGAAATTTTGCTATTCAAGACCGAAATGCCTACTGAGGCTGCTGCAGGAAAAAAACATGTTCCTGTATGAGTCAGGAGTGTGTGTAGAGATTTCGTGCTGCGGGCTATAATCACGAAAAAGGGATCAAAATTCAAGACACTCTCGTCAAGAGTTGCGAAATGATTCGCCTGCAGAGGTCAAAACTGATGCCCCTGCAGCAGCCGACATGGCGCTTGTGTAAGCATATCGCTGAACTGCTGACGCATGTCTCAGCTTCGGCGCCACGTGGAACTCCACATTTGTCACAAAATAAGGTTACATTTTTCAACTTTATCACGAATTTACATTTTGCTTTTTACCATTTGTATGTCTTTTCGAGAGAGTATGCCTTTGCAAAAATTAAATTTTAATTATTGTTAATTTGAGCATTTATGGAACTCTTTAGATACCACCGTCATGAAAATTAATTCCTGATTTTCGAGCTCGGAAAAAAATATTTCCTTCATTTCAACGTACTATATTTGCTCTAAAACTATTGATTTACTCCAATGCCAAGCGAAGATGTATTTGTAAACGATTGTGAAGGTCTTGTACTCAAATAAATTATTGTACAAAGCTCATTATCGACTTGAAGTTTAACTTGAAGAACAATTTTATATCCAAATTTCACCGATGCTGATCTTGCTGTGATGATTTCTGTGCGTAGCAGACGTACACAAACCAGTAACGACATCGCTGAGTTGTGTCGGTCAGTGGCATGTTTTTGGCACACGCATGTTTTCTGACTTAGCATCTGTAAATGATCGTTGAAATTGGAGGAGATCTTGTGAAGTGTCGCGCATGGTCAGCTGATAAGCACATCAACCATTGGGAGGGCATTACTGATGACTTCAGCACCATCCTACAAAATGATTGACACTTTGGCTTAACTATTTTTTAGCAGTACAAACTTCTCTCAATCTACGTTATCGTACAGCAGCTGCTGATGGACTAATTTCGAGATTGCTGTCGTTACGTTGGTATAAATATAACACTCATAATCTCTTTAGTTTTCATTCATGGAAACATAGAATTTTAGCGACAACAAATGAGTCAGTTCTTTCTGTTACAATCATTCACTTTTGATTCAAGTTAAAAAAAATAAAATTATGTTCTTCGGTATCTTTTAATATCGAGGTATGTATGGCAAGGGCTAAAAATGTATTTCTAATTAGTATTGAGCAACCTCTTTATTGGTCAAAAAGTATTCTACAATTTCTATGCGATTTTTCTTTTGTATCACAAACTTTTCAGATACCACCATAATGAACCCTAATTAAGTTATTATTGGAGTTTTCTTAGAGGAGTTTTATCTTATTGGAGGCATCTTCCGGCAGTCCTCTAACCGGCGCCTGATCGCAAAAATCTTGAGCAGCTCACCACCAGTCTTATAGTATATATAGTATATAGTATAGTATCTTCGGCATTAAATAAATAGGCCTGGATAGGCCTGTCGCCTGCAGTCTTAACCATGGTTGAACTATTATTTGTTCAACCATGTATTAGTTTACCCAAGTATTATTAGTTCAACTAAGAGTCTTTACATTCAAAAGCGACAAAACCCTAAACTTTCCTGTACACCTTTCCATTCCTGTAATTCGGGATTAGTTCTTGCCATTTACACTGTATTTTTCCCCGATTTTATATCGTGACGAACCGAAATAAGAGATTGGAATGCTTGGAGAACATTATGAATAATTCAATAATTCAAAATACTTCTACATGGTGGTAAAATGAGTGCAGTTTGATGCATGTTATCTTCAAGTGCGTTTTTTTCTTCTCATATAACCACCTGCAACTTATCTTCCAAGTAGCATTCATTCTCTAACACAACCTACCGTGCCTCAACGCTTTGAAGTTTAGTATCAACGATGCAGATAATGTCCCGACTTTTTTTGACTACGAGATAAGGTAACATGAGCCCGACAAGATATTTAGGTAATTAACAGTATGACAATGTATTTTTCACATTGAGCTAAAATCTCCATTGGTGCTTGTAAGCATGGTTGTACTTCTGATGATGAAACTGTGCACATTACTTGTTTATACTGTACTTTCTCAGTAATTTTCTTGCTCGGCTAACTCCTCGCCAATTTATTACAAATACAATTATAGTTATACAGTGGCAGAAAATTGAACCGAATGTAAGGTTGGAAATACATTCACAATTACAATGCTCTGTTGAAGGCCGATTATTGGAAAAAAATTACGAAAAGAACTTCTAATATAATTCAGATCTTCAGAATAGCAGCTTTCTTTTCAACGATCTATACGTTACTCTCAATTGAGTCAACACGCCCTGGTTTTTCTTAGAGATATAAAGAAAATTATAATAACACGCTGGTATTAATTTTAACCGCTGGTATTTTATGAGATATAATATTCATCGCATATAATAACTGATAATGCACTTTGTAAACATTTTAATGCTGACTGCTACAAATAACATTAGGTGTAAACTCATCAACCAAAGCGGAACGTACGACCGCAGCCCAGTTTCATTGCGCTACCGAATGCTGCGTCGGTCTAACGGTCGCGTGCCCGATAAGGCAGAACAATTTCTACAGTGCTTCTTCTGCTGAAGAACCTTAAAAAATGTCCATTGGTTTCATGCAGCCTAGATTGTGGTTTTTAGTACCTCTAAATTTGCTCCTTACTTGAGGAAAAAATTGTGCATGTCACTGTCTCGCGAATTTGGCAAGTTTGTTGTGGTTGCTGATCTATTTCCAGCGTTCCTAAAAATATTATTCCCATGGGTTAGGAAAAACGCTCGGGATTGAAAGCTTGACCATGATTTTATTTATTCAATGCTCCATAATTTCCATCCAATATTAAATAACCTAAATACTATCGATATACATACACAAGTCCCATTAACGTAAACCAGATCATCCCTTCGCCCAATTGCTCGTTTTGTTGAAATTTGTTTATTGCAGAAATTTACTGATTCCGAAATGCACCTGGATGCATTTCGGAATTGTTTCCGATTACTTGCATTAAAGCTATGACTCGTGATAATTGCTACTGAATACTCGAAGAACTTTAGCAATATGTCTTAGATGAGGAAATATTAATTTCGTTGTGTTTACAGGCTCCAGGATGCCGTCTGTGGGCACAGGGTCGGTGGACATCCGGTCCATCATCAGCAGCATCGTGAACGTCATCAAAAGTCGTGCAAATGTCGTGTGCACGGCGCCTTGTGACGGAGCTATACTCAAGCTGCATTACAGATTCACATTCTTCGTCCTCATCGGCGGCTTTTTCACAGTTTGGTACCAGTGGTGAGTAACTGTAAAAGTTACTGAAATGTACTGATTAGTGATCGTAATTAGTTTGTGCGGATCAGGGCGTCCACAGTTGTAAGATCAGTGTAAACCATCTCCAAAGTGAAAATAATCAGTAATCTTGTCAAAAAACCGAAGTTAACGGTTACTCATCACCTGATTCTATACTGGCTAAACACGGGGGACTGTTTGCCTGAAAATTGCCTCAGGTCAAAAACATTTTACTTGACAATTTCAAACTTACGAGCGTCCGCATCGGCATTCGTCAACTTCGATTTTATTGCAATCGCACTGTGGTTCATTACACACAAATTTAAATATCTAATTTGGTGCCATAATATACGGGCTAAATGTGTTTGAGAACATTTGATCTTTAGAATTCTTAGATATTAATAACACTTGCATTAATAACACTTGGTTAGAGAGTTAAAGCAACCATTCGTGTTAAATGATATGGAACTGGAGCAAAGAATGCAGGTCTATAAGGAACGATCGTATATCAGTTCATGGAACTACTACTTATTTTTTCGTGAGGAAACATCATTAATTCTTACTTGAACGTATGAAAGATCGTTACCTTTATTTAGTAAATTAAATGAGAAAAAACTTTTTTACCTGACCAGAGTTACCGTGTGATTATGGTGAGCCTAAATTATTATTCAAAAACCAAATTTGGGTAGTGGAGATCCACATTTTCTTGTTTGGTAGAAAATTTTATCAGATACATTTAGAATGTTTATTCTGTCCAGATATACTTCGGCTCCTATGAAGGATTCGGCGTGTAACAAATGTAACCAGTTAATTTGTCCGCCGAGAAAATTGGTCTCAAATTCAAGAAATATTTCAATTTAATCACGAATCTATATTTAGTTTTTCTAAATATGAACTAATTTCAGTCTCAATTTAAAGCTTTCTGTTACCAATGAGAGTAAATCTTTACTAAAGGCACGAAAATTATGACAATGTAAATTATATGCAAACAATCACTTCAAGGCGACGATCTGCCTACGCTCGGTTAGAGTAGACCGGAAAGCCTGGCTTCCCGTCCTCCAAACACATGATGTCAGTAGCCACGTTCGGGAAAATCTTTTGCACTTTCCGATGAGATTGTGGTTTGTCGCACGAACTTGTTATCGTTTCCTCACTTATTCAGAACGGAGATCTCCATATATATAAATCAACGTCCATATAGTGTCTATGACTGAAATATTTTAGTACAATTTGAGTTTTTCACTATTTATTCTAAATTTTTCTTCAGGTACCATCGGGATGTGATCACTTGCGTCTCGCACTTCAATGCTGACACGCAAGTTCGATTGGACTACATAAACATATGTTTATCGTATCCCTACGTAGAAATTAAAGAAGAAGGAAATAAAGAAAATCCTAGACGACGTTATCTTCTATTCTACAGATGGGTGACTTGGTCTTTCTTGGTCTTGGCTGGCATTTATTACATACCTAGAAAAGTTTCTAAAAACTTTGAAAATCCCAAATGTAAGAAACTCATCGAAGAAGTCGCTGCCCATAGCTTCAAGGTTGAAGTAGAGCAGCAAATCATCGAGAAAATTGCATGCTACATGATTCCCAACCTGAAGACACACAATGGCCTTTACATTAAGTACGTTCTAATAAACATTCTGGCTCTTTTCATCGACATTTTCGCTCTTAATTACTTTGATTTCTTGCTGCAAGGTAGGTTCATTCGCTACGGCATTGAAGCCTGGCCTTTCGAACGGGATCCTAAAGGCTTCACTGATTACGTATCTCAAACTTTCCCTCCATTTGCTAAATGTAACCTCAACGAAGCAAACGAACTCGTGTCGAAAAGGTCCGAACTCTTCGGTTGTCATCTCACAATGATGGAACTGTACGAGAAAGTCTTCCTCATGCTGTGGGTTTGGCTTATCGTACTCATTTTCCTTACTAGTGCATACATCGTCATGCTTTTCCTTGCCTTCATTCCCAAGTTTCGGGAGCTGTGGCTTAGGAGTGCAAAGCCCATATTCGCTCCTGAGAGAACGCGTACTCTCATATCTAAGGCCAACGAAAACATGCGCACTGGAGACGTGTATCTTCTTTACCGATTTAAGGGTCACTTGAGTCACGCCAAGTTTTACTCTTTGCTAAGTCGATTAGCCGACCCCAAGTTAAACGATAAAGTTAAGCCTGAAGACACAACTCTTTTGGATACAAAAACTTTTCCACAAGGAAGCAATAGCGCTAAAGGCATTGGCATCTACCCTAGTGCAAGCGACACTAGAAACAGGAAAGCTCCAATGCCTCCACAGAACGTGCAACCTCCAATGAACCCTGAATATATTAAAGGATTGTTCAGCAACCCAGAAACCTTAGCGCGACACGGGCAAATTGCACCAAACGACATGGCGCAGACTAGACCTCTTTTATCTAATAGTAAGAATAATACAAGTATACTCATCGAATGATCTTATGCCCTTAAAGAAGTGGCTCGAGTATGTATGACTTGTGAATTGTTGTTCAAGAGGTTTCAGTGATACAGGATGCCAAGCAGTTGGGGTGAGCTTCAAACGACTGTCTAATGGTGGGCTAATTTTTTTCAATTCACAACGGATCTCCTTTGAAAGTTCACTCGCTGCATTTAGTCAAAGAATTAATTGCATCACTGTCTGCTTTTAGATTATAACAAGGAATCGTTCATCACTCGGCTGTTATGGCAAACTGTCATTGCGAGCAGCACTGACTCAACAGTGCAATTGCAAGACTGGTGGCTTCTGAAGTACATGTTTTTTTAACCGCCATGTTATTGCTGGAGAACATGATAGCCTCAAAAATTGGATTGTCTCCAAGTGTCACAGAAATCCATTTGATTTAATTTTCTAGAATATTATTGCTGGAATTGGAATCTTAATTTTATAGACAGGAACTTTTAACGTTGTATGTGCTTGTTTTATTGATTCGTCAATTTTGTCAAGTTGGCTTAGAGGTATTAAGACTTGTTGAGCTTTTTTACATACATCATAACAATTTAAATTGTTTACAATTTGTGTGTGATAATTGTGATAGTTTATCAAATAGTGATACTAGTGTTTTTCAGAAAATGAGCTAAAGTATTGTAAAAAAAACAAGATTAGCTTAATCTATCAATAGTTGAATATTAGATGTTTTGATAAATAACTGATGGCATTCCTGTTCCGCTAACGTTCGCTACAAATGTGTTCACTACAAAAAATGTGTTTTACTTGCTGAATTTTACTAATTTATGTGAGATATTCCACATGACGCCATTTTATTTTATAGCGCCCTGATGCTAGTCTGTCAGAAAAGAAGACTTAGAGTTTACGTTCTATTGAATAAAAAATTAAAAGGACATCCAAATCATCGAAAAGTCTTCAGTGCATATGATGGCTAGAAATAAATATGATGGCGAGAAATAAATATTGAGTGTTGTGGGTTTCACTTAATTGAGCTGAACGTAGCCGTGAAATAATTTTACAGTAATTGCGATGCTCGATGAAGTTATTGAAAAATAGTTTAAAATGGTGTGAAAATGTATATACATAAATCTCTATGACAAATTTAAGTTAATGTTTGAAAATTTGTGGGGTACTGCGGAAATAATAAAAATATTGTTCGTGTTCGACTAGAAAAGAAATGAAGAGCAAAAAGCAATAATATATCACAAGAAATGAATGTGAAGTTTATTGATGGAACTTTTAAAAACACCGTGGGTTCAGTGCCACGAGTGATGGTGGGCTCAGTAAACCGAGTGATGGTAGCGACTTTCTTACAGTCTTTCTGATCTCTGAAGTTACTAAACTTCTTAATTAAGCTAAGAATTTCATTGATGTTTCTTGTGTTTACCGTTGCATATGCTCTTGGAGTAAGATGATGTTAATGAAAGTACCCAGGAGTTCCGCACTTACATTAGTGCTGCTCTTATTATGTGCAAGCGGGTTAATATAACATTCATGACAACATCGTGCCAGTAAATATTAATATGGTTTAATTGAAAAAATTTATGCGACATTAAATGTGATAATACCTGGATTTAAGATAGGCATTGGAAGGCGAGACTGCAAGTAGCTTTCAAATTTGTCCTGGAATCAATCGTCAAATCTTCGTTGGGTAAAATTAATTACTTTTAAATCTGCGATACGTTGTAAGATGGTAATTTATATGAAATAAATTTGTGTCCCGCACCATATGTCTCGTTGTAAACTAGAAAGTCTCACTTTGATGTCCTAGGCCCATCATAAGTTGAAGAATCAACAATTGATGTCGTTGTGTTATTCACTTATATGTACATAATTCATGAATGCAAATTTAGCTGGCAAATATTTAGCTTTTGCTTTAGCAAATTTAGCTAAAATTTAGCAAAAGCTAATTTAGCTAGCATATTTGTTTAGCTAGGAACTAAACTAATTTTATTGAGGTTTTCTTTCAATTTGAACCTTTCAAGTTCATTTTTCCAAACGAAATGCATTCCTGCTGAATTACCTTTTTGGTGAACGCCATATCGTCCATATTTTTAGCTGAAAATGTATCGTGTCTATTAAATAGGCTTTGTTTAAATTGTTTGTGGCGCGGCACGATATTTTGTGCACATACGAGTGTTCTTGAAACTCACATAAATTTGTACTAACGCTTTGGAGAAAATTATTATTCAACGAAAACTCAGTCTTCACTTGGCTTAATAGCAATGTTATTTTTTGTGTTCCAATTCCGAAATTGATTATTGTATCGTCAGCACATTGAAAGGGTTGAGTGAAAATTCCTTCTGATGAATGCGTTGTCCGTAGTTGCAACCAACACGTTCTACAAAACTAAAGCCAGTTGTTCCTGGAAAAATAAAATAGTGACTGCTCAATCACAATTTTTAACTATTTTCAGTTTCATAAGCGGGGATTTTAAGGCTGGATGGTCGCAGAACTTATTTAATTTTGTTGTACGATGTGCCAAAGGAATAACCTGTTCACTGCGGTCACAGCTTCGTGATAGACAAGTTGTGGAAAGAGCTTTCTCTTCACAGCCATTAACAAAGGAAGATTACTAGTATTACGTTTTTTACATTTTTAAGTGGAACCACGTTTTACGCTAATGTGTAATTGTTCATTTAGTCTTATTGTAAGTTTTTTTTAGAAATAAAATTGTCATTTCAAAATAGTTTTTATTCCTATGCAGAATCTTATTAATAGTTACTAATTTATCTTGAATGAATGAGAAATTAAAAAAATTATTCTTACGAGCAGGATTGCAGGATTTCATGCGGGAACTGACAGAATTCTGTCCGTGTAATGGCATGAATGACGTGACCGTGGAATGATTTGTGTGGAATTGTATGACTGTGTTGAATAACATGTGCGGAATGGCATGAATACGATGAATGATATCTGCGTAATGACATGAATATGTGGACTATTTGAATGAACTTTGGGCGCCTGCCTCAACCATTCCTAATCCCCACAAGCAAAGTTATTACATCTGAACAAGTTGCAGCAGCTGGCATCCACGCCTTTACTCCATCAATCGTCGTAGCCAAGCACCGATGCGCTTGTGATTTACGTAGCAAACCATCGAGTAACGGAACTCTGATGGCGGCTGCTGTGTGGTAACATCGGCTCTCTGGGCTGCGCTGCGCCGACCGAAGCTCGAGTGAACTCAGTTTGCCGTCAACGTCGTGAGATAACGCCAGCGTTCGCTGCCAGCTTGTCTGTTATCGTCTGTTTTTACTTAAAAATCGCTGGACCATTGAAAAATTTGAAGTTACAGTCACTTACTTAATTTTCAGCCCCCAATTTTTTTAAAGTTACTTTGAAGACTCGTATAATACCAACAGAAAATGAAATACATTAATAGAAAATGAAGTACAGAATTATTTGAACGTTTACAGTTACAATTATGCGACTTAATAAGAGATGAATGACAAACATTCTGAGGGTTAAAAATTTGGGAAATGTTAAGAAAACATACGAACAATTAGTCCCTTTAGAGAACCTGTATGCATAGCTTGTTTACTTGCACGATTCCTTTCCTATTCGAACTCGAGGATGAAATTCGAGAGTATCAACGATCATCAATCTTGCTCAATTTTCAAGCTCTACGGACAAAACAAAATTTCGCTGAGATTTATTGTGTGCGCATTTGGTTTCATTAATTGCTTCCTCATTTTAACTGTCATAAGAAAGTTAACCAATAGCAACAACCGAATTTCAGAAAATGTTAACTTGAAAACAAAATTGACTTTTGGTTTACCACCAACAAATCTTCAGACTAACAAGACGCATTTTGATAGAGCGAAGAGTTTTCTCGATACAAGTTATTCATCGTTACCCTTGAATCATCTTGAAAATTATCATTTAACATCTGGAAATGAGAAAATTTTGAAACGTGCACCACAGAGCTTTCATTTTCTCATAAAAGAAGGGAATTTTTGCAAGAAACTCGCCAGTAGCGATGGCATACGGAACGTCAGCATACATCCCAACCCACAACTCAATTTCTGGTCCAAAAAATCAGGTGAGGTGATTAATATATTAATGCAGTTCTTGAATAATCAACTTAGAATAGAAAAATTGCTCTCGATCTTTATTAAATCATACAATAGTATAAACTAGCATAGAATAAAGAAATATTTATGAATAGACTATAAAAATAGCACAACTCCCTGGTCAAACCTTTCAACATTGGACTCGCTGGAATATGAAAATTTTTACTAATTATTTTCCACTAACTGTTACTTGAACCTGTTGAGTTTGTGAGGGATGAGCAGCCTTTTAGGCATCATTAAAATAACACGAAATTAGGATCTATACTGAATATCTCAAATGAAAATAACGAAATTTTCAGGCTAAACCACCTTGGGTACTTCCATACAATTTGTTATAGTTTAATATCCTGAATGTTTACGGTAATGATGCGGACACCATTATTACGGTCATCATTAACTAGGACATTAATTATTCTTCATTGTGTGAGTGACATATACGCAATGCTCTTGAATGATTTAACTCATCAAGAATCAATTCCACCAGAGTGAATTCGTAGAAATTCGATGCTTCAAGCTTCATATGAAAAATACAGCTATTATCCTCCTGCAAACCTGATGTTCTGAGTAAAGCTTTATATCGGACATCTTGAAAGTTTCAATGCACTAAAACATAAAAAATAAAAGCATCAAGCGAATAACAAAACATTCAGTAGAACATTCATTGCCCCAAATAATAATTGAGTTATTTTGGGGCAATTAGTAACACAAAATAATTTTTGCGTTACAAATTATCCCAGTTTTAAATCAGACGACAGACCGGGACTGAGGGGACTTGTGGCCGTGGCGGTCGTGAGTTCCGCGGTGAGGAACTTTCGGGAGCGCCAGAACGTCCGCGCCACTTGGGCCGACCCCAGAGTTGTGCGGCTAACTGGGGTAAGAATCGTTCATTTGTGTACAGACAAATGAAGAAAATATTACCAGCGAATCAGTGTTAACTCAGAGCGAGGAGGTGAAACAGGCGAGTGTATAGAAGATCTCAGGTCTGCTTGGCGAATTACTAGGAGAAACTAATGATGATTTTGGTTCAAAGTCATTTTTTCAAAGGTTCAAAAGTCGATCATGATATTTCGAATATCTTCCATTGATTTCAACTAGTTAATTTTTTTCGATGGCTTCCTTTTAAAAGTTTAATAGCTTAAGTCGCAAGAAATTTTGTAAGGGTCAAATTACCACGAAATGTCAGCACAGAATAAGAATAAAATATTCAATATAATATAGAATGTCAACGTTTCGACGTGTGGTTGACAGATCGCTTCGGTGTTCGTTGTGGGGGGAACCACATCCGCGCGGGCGCAGCGAGCGCTGGTGAGGGAGAGCCTCGCCTTCAGGGACATCGTGCAGGCAGATTTCCTGGACACCTACAACAACCTCAGCCTCAAGTCCCTGGCAGGTGAGGCGGCAATCTCAGCCTCAAGTCCCTGGCAGGTGAGGCGGCAACCTCAGCCTCAAGTCCCTGGGAGATGAGGCAACGCCTCAGTCTCCACCCACTGGTGGTGTACACATTTATAGCCGACCAGAAATAATGAATTCACTTGATCACAAACTAGAGTGATTTTCGCCTACAATAAATGTGCTTTTAGTCTTTTGTAACCCCGGCATTACAATCATTACAATCAGTCCGCATTTCCATTGAAGCCAGCGTAGTCAGTTCCCATTCTCAGCAACAGTTTAACTGTGGAGCATCAGCTAAAAGTTTGTTTAAAAAACATTTTAGCACAAACAAAATAAGGCATAAAGTTTAATCACACTTTGCACCAAGAAATAAATAGTGACTGATAAAGTACTGGTCACTGTCAAAAACCAGTTTATTTATCATTGTGAAGCCCATTACTATAGTGCTCGCTTGTGATTAAATGAATGCGTAAAATTTGCACCTGCGTCCAGGTATTTGGTGGGGGGCGCAGCACTGCGCACAGGCGCCTTGGATCCTCAAGACGGACGACGATGTGAGCGTCAATGTCTTCGCCCTCAGTGAATACCTCCTCCATTACGCAGGTCTTTACACGCATCCAATTTATTTTTGACATTTTTTTGATGTTTCATATTTATTAATGTAATTTTTTATATAACGGTAGTAATTTATTGTATTTTCTATGGTTCAGTTAGAACATACTGGGTAAATGCAGTGTTACGGCAAAAGTTGAATTAGTCCGATCCAGGAGAGGCGTTGACTATTGAAACTCTCGACTTCTAAATGAAGGTGCAAAAAAAATGAGAGAATTATGATGCGAAGCCTGAAAATTATCTCACGCCAAATGTAAAATCAAATGCCATATTACGACGGATGAGCGAAACCGCGTGGCGTTGCTCAGTTGCATGTGTTACGTCGACTTCCAAACTTCCGTCGAATTCAAAATTCACGGCGACTTTTAAATTAAAAGTGACTTCTGAGTCACTAGTTTTAAAGTTTCTAAACAAATTTCTCATCCTCTCGATTGAACGTACACGTGAACTCAACAGGAAAAAAACCTTTCGGAAATTATATGTCCAACAGTTTCTTTAATTATTCTTCATTGTGTGAGTGACATGCACGCTATGCACTCAAAATGCACTTACCCCTTAATGGGTAAATACTTACTTCTGCTTTACCCAGGATCCACCGAGCCTGAAGCTGCATTGCATATGCCAACGTTCACGGACAACCCGGACCTACGCGAGGTAAAATAAGGACACAGAAAATGAGGAAAATATCTGTTCAGTTTCATGGACAGCCATCGCCAAATTTCATTGACCATTAGTCTAGTATAGATAAATTTTTCAAATATATTTCAACATTATTCTCATTCATAAATAAATTCTTCCATACCATGCGCATTTTAGCACATCTCTGCGCGATGTGATGAAAAAATATCGAATTCATTGATCATTTTTGGTATAATAGTCACTCTTACAGTCAATATATGAACGTGGCTACGTATGAATCAAAAGTTTCATAGAAAATTTATGTAGGACTATAGTCAGTGCCAGTTTATCCGCATTCAATAACGATTATAAGTAAATTATATTGAACCAAATACGGCTAAATAAAGATAATTCATCGGACAGAGCACGAAGCGATGTACAGGAGCCCACTGCGTGGTGCTCTGCGACAAGATCTCGCTGCGCGCCAGGGCGGTTGACAACAACTCTTATCAGTTCGGCGTCTCTGCGGCCGAGTGGCGCCTGCCTACGTACCCGCCTTACTGTCATGGAGTTGGGTGAGGACGGGGGCCTTATCAACACAACTTGATGTTGGTATCTTGACACAAGATTGGAGAGTTAATAAGACTGTTCAGCGGTCAGTATCACGGGTAGTTCACGCCAATGATCCATGAGATTTGAGTTTGATAATTTAATATCTAGTGACGCGACACATGAGATCAGGAATGTTCCAGCGTGCTGAAGTTCCCTCGAAATGATAAAATAACGAGAAAATATAAAAAGAGCACGAAAAAATAGAATAGTATAGAATAAATGTAACAAAAAAATATATTCATTTATTGAGTTTCACTCACACACGAAGAATGGCTTAATACGGTGACGCTGAGATATTTTAAGAAGACGGGCACAATTCAGTTTTTTCAGTCTAATCCTGGAATCTGAAAAATTGAGATTGAATAAGAATATTTTCATATCGCAACCAAAACCTGCCTAAAACTGGCAGAAAAAAATGCATGTTGAGAATCGCAAGGGCATATTAATTTTCCCACTTTACACTCAGAAAACGAATCGGTCAAGTGCCCAAATAGAGACGCAAATCTACTCACTGCTCGCGCAAAGAGAGAACGTAGACTGATACGCCCTTTTACCGGGTGAAGTTGGGTCTGAATGACCCAAACAAGGGAAAAAAGTGCTTCATTATTCTTAGGAAATACCTCTCATTTCTCTGAGTGAATGAATAATCGAAAAAAATTGTGGCAAAGCTCTAGAATAATTAGGCATGCTGTTGTGAATAAACTTTCTCTTGTTTTAAATTGATACAATTTAGAATGAAGTGACAAAAAAATTCAATTTCAAATGTGATTGACGTGCTGTAAAACCTACAAATTATTTTTTAATCATAGGAGGATGAATCAAACTCGATTACGAATCAAAGACATAAAACCTACCTAACTGCAACAGGCCAATACGATATGGCTCAAGTTCAGAATCTGACTTCATATTTTTGTGGCATCACTCGTGAATGTGATACAGGTACTTCATTTTTATAACATCACTAGTAAATGTGATGCTTTTTTTTAGGGCATCACTCATAAATGTGATACTTCCTTTTCGGAGTATCACTTGTAAATATGGTGCTTCATCTTCGAAGCATACCTCGTAAATGTGATGCGTCGGTTTTTGATCATCACTAGCAAATTGTAACTCCAAATCATTCCTCGCAAATCGTGATCAAAAAAAAAGTAGCAAACTAATAGGATAACTTTGAGGGAAACTAACTAATAGGATAAGTTAACCTTTTCCCTCAAATACAGACTTTAAAGTAGCGATAATATACACGTCAGGTACTTGGTGCCCACAACTGCAGTGCCAGCCCTGATGGAGGCCGCGGCCACGAGCACCTACATCAGAGTTGAAGATGTCTTCGTCACTGGCATACTTGCTCGGTGAGTTCATGTCGTACACGGCCAAAATTGTCTTTTTTTACTCCCTATAAAGGGTTAATTATTTATTTCTCAAACTAGTTGCAGGCGCGAGTCTCAACAAAGTAAAATATTGTTAATTTTTGACGTCGGTTGAGCCTCAGTGAAATTTATTATTGCACTCGCTTATGTTCATAAAAAACATTTTCAATCTCGGATCAGCTGCAAATGTGCAAAGAGAGTCAGAAATAGTCGTGATCATCAAGACAAGAATATTACTTCTATAAATTGATACATTTTTCAATAACGTGTCATACCACTTCCATACTGCAGCATAATTCTTTTATACCTATCTCGTCACACCACTTCCACACAGCGTCATAATTAATCTGTAACGTGTCATACCACTTCCAAATAGTGCAGCACAATTCAAACATAACGTGTCACACCACGTTCATACAGTAGCATAATATTCTTCTATAACATGTCACACAACTCCGTATTTCACCACAATACTTATTAGCCTGTAGCCTCACAAGATCAAGCGTTTACTCAGGGCGGCGGGGCTGCGTATTGCGCACATGCACCCCCCGGTGCCGTGGCAGTACGCGCTACACGCGCACGACCGGGCACTGCTCTTCATCGCCGGCATCAGGTGAGCTCTGACGCACGTGTAAGATACAAAGTAGGGACTTTGTTGCAATGTTACTCAAGCAATACATTCAATAACTACCGATAAGCTCACAGAAAGGACGGTTTATAAGCTCTTCTTTTTTTGTTGTTGTTTCAAAAATCCCGCCACACTCGTCTCTCGGTCGGTTTTTGTTCCCAACCAATAGCAGGACGTTGCTTCAGTGGATGTTTCATTCTCCCCGAAGTAAGGTCCTCTACGAAGGTAATTTGCTGGTCGTCATAGTTTCTTAGGTAACCATGCGAGACGAGGTTACTAATTAACGAGCCAGAAGATGTTTAATTAAAGTATTTATAAACAGGACTAACACAAAATATACAGGATATATACACTTCAATGTGATTTAATCTATATAGAGAGAACTAGCTATTGAACCTTACTACCAAAGTTTATTTCGAGCACCTAAAGAACAACATAAACATGCCATCATTCACAACAAAATATAGCCGTATTCTCACAAATCCTCAACAGAACTAACAATATACGTTTTATCGACCGTTGTTCAGGCTGACACTGGAGCTGGACCGCGACCTGGAGGGGGGCCGGCTGACGGGCTCGCAGGTGTGGAGGATGTTACTCGAGCGTCACAACGTAACGCTGGACCAGAGCTGATCCTCTGGCCCACTAGAAATTTTGAATAGATTAAACTGACCGTTTATTGGATTAAACCGATTAAATTTGAATTTAAAGTTTAATGGATACAACTGATTAAACTGACCGCATACCCTTTTATCAAAAACTTTACGGATATACCCGCAGCCATCGATGCTATTTATTTCTCAAGGCACGTTAGTTAGCAGTGACCGTCAGTGGGAAAATTTTTGATCAGAATGAATTATCAGAACTGTTCTGGGTAACAAAAATTTAGCATCTGTAAAAATTAGTTAATAATTCCAAAATCCATCTGCAAGCTACTCATAACAAATGTGGAGTATTTCTTTTCTATCTAATCATCAATTAAGCAGATTTATTACTCGTCCTAGTATTCAAGTATTTACGATTATACAGGCAGGGATGGGAGGCAGGCTAATAACATACGACTCCCCCTTTTAGATTTAAGAATTGTTCTTGTTTGGGCCATGTTGAGCAAAAACCTGTTAAATATGCCACCAGCTTGTATTTTAACAAGAAAAATAACTGCAGTTTTGCCCTATGAAGGTATATGCCTGAACGCCAAAACTATCATATTTGATATCAACCGGAATACAAAAGTTTGGCTGAGGAGAGACAAATTTACGAGTTCCATGTCAGTTCATAATTTGACTCAGGGAGGAAATAAAGAGTCAATCAGGGGGAACATAAAGATTGTATTGAATTCCACGTTTCAATCATTAGGTACATAACAACTTTAATGTAAGTCATATCAACTTGCTCGATCATTTTCAAACTTGCGGGCCACTTGGCTAACTCATCCCAGTGTTAGGTTAAAGTTCAGTAGTATTATTCTTATGAACAATATATTCGAACGATCACCGATTTCATTTTTTATCTTCTATACATTTTTTAATATTAATAAAATTTATGCTTAACAAATTTAATTTTTAATGCCAATAACACTTAATGTCGGGAAAGTTGAACCAATTGCAAACTAAAATTGTTTTCCCATATAACCGTAAAAAGCTAGGTCATCTATAAACTAGCATTTTTCAATGGTAAATGGCAAGTCAAGTTTATAATAATTTAAAAAGAAAAGTGGAGACTACAGTAGATCCGAGTGAAGACCAACGGACTTTCGACTTGGAGTAAAGATCCGAAAATGAATAAAACTTCCCAGACAAATCATGAGAATTCGTTGACAACACAAAATGTCCTACGATGAAAGATAATTAATTAATTATATAATAATTATTAGAACATCTTAATATGAGCACGCTAATACTAGCTTATGTACTCGATAAACAAGTATTTATACAGCATTATGTACATTACCTACCACATTAAGTAGGGTGCGTCCAGCAAATACTAAATAATCGAAGGATCAGGATTCGTTGTCGGCGTAGTAAAGAAAAAATTACCTAAACAACTGCGACGCGTGGTGCAAATGAGAACAAATTTAAGTACGTGACTGAATTACCAAAGGACAATCATCAAAAGCCCCAATTACCACTGAAACAGCCTCCTAAACACGTCCGTCATTTTCAAGGAAATTTCTTAAAAGCTTGCAGTAATTATTGTATTGTAAACAAGGCGAGCTACGTACGAAGTTCAAATTGAGGACGCAGTGAAAGCCTCCCGTGAGGACTTCTACAGAACGAGGGTATTAGCTGTAAAGGTATTTATTTATCGGTAGCTTGGGGCTTCGGAACCACCATCACAATAAATTAGTTCTCGTTTTCGTTTGCTGCGAATCTTCTACAACAATGCAAAAATACAGAATTACAAAACGTATGAAATAGTAAGTCAACCTAACGCATGACTTCACCATGCAATCAATTACAGGAATATCAACGATGTCTCAATCAGAGTCAAATATGCCACGCAAAATGCATAGGTACACATTTCACCCGACAATATTGCTCCATACGACGCGTGTACAATGAAGGTGAAACTTCAAGCTTAAGCAGAGGTTGCTTGCCCGCAATACAACATACACGGGAGGAAACGCTGCCTTTAATAATATTCGAGTCTCGGAGGTCCTGGACAGTCGTAGTGTATCACCGGGTATAAGTCACATACTACCGAATAATATTGCGGCTAATATGAAATATTCGCTGCCCTTAATTCTGCTGAAGGCGCTAATAATTAGGGAATTAGATGAGTATTCTGATTGAATTCATTAGTGGTCAGCTAGAACCAGGCCGGTGGAGAGTAATAACAGTCGCAAATCGTTGTCATATTATCTTGAGTTCTACACAACATTTCTGTGAAATAAATAAAAATTAATTACAATTGTTCATACTCTAAAATTGTCGACGTACACCCACCAGAGAATCCCGCTCCGGTCGCGTACTAGTTTGGGACCACAGCCATAGGAAGAACACTAAGACAATTAATGCTGATCAGAAAATGTCGAAAAGCAGTTATGTACAAAACGACCGTTTATTATTATGAAGCTAAGTGCATAAGCAGAAAAAAATCTGACATAGCTTTTCAAATATTAGATTTAATAAGATCATAAATTAATATAAAAATATGTAGTTTTGAGTCCCTTCCCTTCTTCGAGGGAAGGCTTGAACACTTCAAGGTTGGAAAAAATACACTAAATTAAAATAAGTTTCATAAAATAACTTTCAAGTTTCGTCAGTAGCAGATTCGGCCTGAGATCATCTGCCTCTACCTCTGCCACGGATGTACGCGCCCCTGACCTTGCCCCCCGCCTTAGGAGGGGGCGACTTGGGCCTGAGGGCCTCGATGCGGTCTGTGCAGCCCGTCGTCAAGCTCCCGCCAGCGTCGGGGTTGAAGAAGGACGAGTAAAGGCCAGGGTCGAAATTACTGCTGCTCAAGTCGGGGCCTACGGTGAGCCAGCCTGGCCGGATGCTTGGGTCGCGGCCGAACAGGTGCAGTCTGCGCGGAAAAAAAATACTTTGTATTCGGTATTTGGTAGGTGAACGAAACGCCTCCGCCAGAGCAGCATTTAGGGTGGAAGGAAAATAAGCAGAGAGAATCCGCGTAGACCCGAACAATTGATCTTATTAGTTATTTTTAAGTGGAATAACATTGAATAGAACCTTTAGAAACCAATCCGTGAAGCCTTGCCTCCGTATTAATTGTAATCCTGAACTGTCATTACACATTGTCATTTGTTATTATCTGGACTAGTCGATCGTTTGCAGAATAGAATTAACATTTATCTGAATGATAAAACAGAATATGAATAAAGCAAAATATATACACCACATAGCACCGGAATAAATAATCCTGATGGCGGCAACATACCAGAAAGCAAATAACCCAACAAAAATATCTATATGAACACGACTAGACACAAACCTGGCCCATTAAGAAACAACTATTAAGCAACAATCAAATATAAAGCCAAGCCTAAGAAGATGCTTGGATCCTGCAATGTAGCACAGACCTCCTCTTGCCGAGGCAGAAATGTTCGATGATGTGGAATATCTCGACGGGTTTATCAAGCGTGCCAGCGCTGCTCTCCTCCGTGATGATGAGGTCGATGTCAACGTTGGCGTGGATAAAATCGCCGTCCGTGCTGCGCCTCACAGTGCCTTTGATGCCCATCAGGCAGTGCTCCTGCGTGGTAAAACATTTCCAAGTTGATCCGGAAAAATAAATTAGCTCTAGTATAAATAAGTTGATCGGGAAAAAAAAAATTTGAGACTAAAATTGGAGTTGAAGAACCTCGCTGAGCAACGAAAATCTTGACATATTCCGGCAGCTCAATAATAAATTCATTATGAGTTACTGTTCACACAATAAATAAATTATGGTTAAATTAAACATAAATTTATTTTAGTGCCTAGAATAAATGTAAGGAGCACCTTAGTTCTCTGGAAGACAGCTTTATGGTCGAGGTTCTTAGCGTGTCCAGGGCAGGAGGCGTTGGAGCGAATCCAGCAGATGTCCTCGCAGCGCCTGAAGCCCCAGGAGCGCAGGCAGCGCCGGCCTTCATCCAAGCCCTCGGACGACCCCACCCACAGGAAGATGAAGCTGCGAGGCGCCGCCACCTGAGACGCAGGCAGTTAACAATACTTCTCATTCTAACATTTTACTGCTAACGTTCAAATATAAAATCTCAATCATAAAATAAACTACAATTTGTATTTACAGATTATAAACTACACGAAAGCTGCCATTGAATGCAGAAATTATCAGGGAATTCGCGTCACAACTTTTGTTCAAGAAGAGTGAAGGGATTTCATGTTACCAGGATCTCAAGAATCCGTTAAAGTCTGGAAAATAGTTTAGAACTTAGATTGAATTTAGCGAAAACTCGTTGGGGTCAGGTGTTGTTTTTCTATGAGTTCACTAATAATCATTGTCACTTTATACGTAGTTATGCTAACCTCAATAAAGCATTGAAGTGATGATCTGGACATACCAGGAATGGTAACATCCAAAGTGCAGAGGGGAAATGAGCGCATCACGATACACTGAGTATTATTATACACTAAGTATTTATTATCATTCTAAGCAGTATTTACGTGTAACACATCTGATCGCGGGGCTCTGCAGTATATTACCGATAAAACAGTACGCGCCGGAGGAGCTCTACCGAGACAGTAGTTTAACTGGCTGTGCCGGAGCTTGACGGAGCTAGACAGCCTTCCTCCATTGAGTTACGTCTTATAACTTAGCCTTCTCAGGATACACATATTAGGGCGTTACCGTGATACCACAACAAGAGAGAGACCAATGTCTCGAAAGTGTCGATAATATCTCGCCTGACGCTCTAGTCAAAATTCTAACATGAAATTATTTACAACAAATAAAGCCCTGATTATCCCACCTGTGCAATATCCAGCTCGCGTATTTGATTCCAGTCCCAGAATCCTCCGAGAGCGGAGGCGTGTCCAGGGGCGGTGTGCTGGTACTCCTCCAGGGGCGGCTCTACCAGGATCACGTCGAACACGCACTGTAGGGACGTCAGCGGGAAGTGGTGCAGGTCCGCCTTCAGGTAACTCGGCGGACTCGCGGTAGCTGCTATCAAGTCGTCCTGAGACAAATGTTAACGAACCTTTACAAATTATATTGACTAGCAATTATCTATCTGATGCAATATGATTTACAATTAAATTTATGTTCTTCATGGTTTATTTTATTTTACTATTTTTTCTAGCAATCTTAAAAATCCTTGGTTGAAATTATGCAAATCAAGAATGCCTTAGCCATAAAGCATTAACTGATATTAGGGCTTCTGATTCGAATTTTAGAAGATAAATCTAATGTTCATGGTGGAAGACCGCCTGCTATTTATCAACTGGAAATAATTATGAATATGTAATATCGGAGACCATACAGAACCGATATGAAGATTTATTTGTCAAATCGCAGGGGCAGGATGAAACGGTTCAGAATACCAAGATTGGAACAGTGAGTTGTGGTTTCGATCCCAGCAACCAGCGACAGTTCTTGTCAAAATCGGCAAGGTGGCCGGGCGGTTAAGTACAGCAGAATTGTAGCAGTGATTTTGAAAGTTCGAGACCCGCAACAAGTCGTGAAAATTCTGCGATGTCTAGAATCGGCGACAAGTCTAGTGGCTTAATTACCGTTGACACCTCTACTATTATTACTAAATTAGAGGAGCCAAGATACTAAAGCAACCTTGAGCTTGATGAGCTCCCTCAGTTTGGGGTATTCTTCAAAACGATCAGCAAGACCGACGTCTCTGATGAAGTTCTGTGGCCGGTGGCCGGTGTCCACGAAGTGTTGGCAGTAGTCGTTGTGGGGGTTCGCGGACTGTGTTCCCTGTCAACAAACCGACATACTAATTACAATCACTACAAACCTCGATTGTTATTTTAGTATTGATTCTGAATGATAGAGATAGAAATCAGAAAATATTATAAATGACTACCAATTTATATATTTGAAACACCTCAACATGACAGTATCGCGCAGATGGTGTAACAACAAGAAGTGACTGGAATTAACCAGACTTTTAAAACTGTGAGAAAATTGATGATTGAATCTAATTAACGTCAGAGGAAGATGCTGCAGTGGCTAAGTCAGCAGAACAGAATTTTTAAGGAAGGTGACACGAGTAGTGAACTGACTTTAAGGAAGGTAGTGGAGTCGGTGTAGAGTGCGACAGTGTGTTTGTTGGCGGCGTGGTGGCGGCGGTGAGATCGGCTGCCGCGCTGCTGCAGTTCATCCGAAGAACCTCCTCCCGACGGGACGTTGCCCAGCGCCTCGCCCAGACGGTCCGGGCACCACACGCCTAGCTGGGACCAGAGGCAATACAAAGCTTATAACTCAGTAGGAATATTGTTGCATATGTGGCGGAAAACAGATTAACAACAATTAATGTGTTAGCGAAAATTAAAATTCGAGAAATATTGAAACGTTATTATTCAAACAGTGAGAATAACTGAGTATCGTGAAGATTCAAAAATGGGAAGGCTTTGAAAATTAAGAATAAACTAATGGAACATAAGTCATACAAATGACCATGAATTTAAGCTCTCTTATCATTTGAAAGCTGAGAAATCAAAGTTGCGAAGTATACAATGAACCAAACCAAGGACCAAATTTCGAACATAATAAACCGAAGTTGCAATAAGTATGGCGCCTCCTGATGGACTCACTTGCTGGGCGACGAGTTGCCGCCGGAGCTTGGCTCTCTCTCTGAGTTCTTTCATTTTGCCGACGCCTCCAAGGACACTCGAGTCTCTTGTCGCGCTGGAATCAGATAATTTATGTTCAACAGCATTGGAAGCTTTCACAGAATCGGCAGCCGGGGAATTATCTGCAGGCTTGTTCGTGAGAGCAGCAACTTCTTTCAACGAAGGCGTAGTCATGGCAGAGTTTGAGGCGGTCACCTCGAACGTTGCTGGGGATTGTGACGACACATTTGTTATAGGTTTTGAAGTTACCGTAGCTTCTGCCATGGCACCGCAGTAGAGGCCATCAGTACTGGACGCGTTTGAAGACACCGCCGCCGGCATAGAAGTGACCATTGACGGCGACACAATTGAGCCTTCCAGCTTTATATTAATATCTTCTGAGCTGCTAAACTTGGTGTCGGAAGACAAACTCACACAGTCATTCTGAGTCTCGCTGGCCGAAGATTTACTAGGACAATTATCGTGGGGAGGGAGATAATTGTCCTCAAGGTTTGTAGGATTTCCAGGATTTGATGCTACGGACGCGAGGGTAGCGAGAGGGTCGCTTCTAAGGGCAGGTTCAGGCTGCTCCTCAACGAGAACTGGTGCTGAGGGCATCACGGTGACACTAGAGGGCTTGGATATTTCCGCGGAGGTGCAATCTGAGTCCATTCTCGAATTTCCTAGATTGACTTAACAGAGAACAAGAACCTAAATGGCGAAAAAAATTCAAGCAAGTCCCATTATATTAACCCCGTCAATATTTTCATTCCTCATGATTAATCATCATAATTAAGCAATTGATCATCATGAATTATTATATATGTCCTGAAATTCAAAAAGACGATTCAATAGTTTTCAACATAATTAAACTTTCAATTGGCTAAAATTAAGAGATGTTGAAAACAATAATTCATACTTGATTCCGCCATAATTTTAAAAATTATAGTTCAATACAAGTCGGGAGATATTAACCCAATTACATACTAGTACAGGTAGTTTCAACATTAGTAGTCAGTTATCAAGCTATTTAGCACAGGATGTTAAAAAAAGCATCACCAGCAAGTCAGAAAGTCTCAATTTTAGCAAACTTCTCAAATTATTCCACCAGCGGCGGTAGATTTCAAGAGGCCCGGCCGCTGTAACTAGCAACAAAGGAGCAGCGTTAGCATCTCAAAGAAGTGTAGCATTAGAGAGAACACTTGTACAGCAATACAAACGAAGTCACTCCTCCAAGAAATCGCATGAAAGAGACGTCAGCCAACCGCGCCAAAGAATCAGAGAAAAGTAAGGTTTCAGGCCTACAAAACAACCAAACAACCGAGATCCGTAGTCAGATACTTCAAAATGTACTTACGGAAATCAGGAAAATACCTAACGTGAAGAGGACTTCAGAGGAGCTTAGACACGCGTCAAACAAACAGGGTGTTCGGAAATCACAGTCATATTCCAGTACATGTAGTTCAATCGTGCAAATTAAATAAAACTGATCCTGAAGCTTAAAAAGTGTTGAATTCGAGCGTGGGAAATGGAATACCTATACCTAACGGCACAAATTTTTTAAATCAAGAATAAGAAGCTGCATCTGGATTGACGACGCGAAAATCTAAGAAATGAAAGATTAATCAATGAAGAACAAAACATGTTTGCTGTCTTCACATAATCTATAGAGTGTTAAGGGCGATTGAAACAAAGATAATCGCACATGTGGCCGATTGCGTCTGTTGAGCTTTCATCAATGTTCATGTCACACATGTTGAGCTTTAAATAAATGTTGCACATGTTGAGCTGCAATAAATTTAAGGTGCTAGGGAGTCCCAGGGACAGCACAACGTCCCTTAGATGCCAAGGCGTCACCCTGAGGACCACGAACTGTCACGCTGATTTGTTTCACAAGTTGAAAATGAAGTGGCGTTTTTACCATCCTATTTTCTATCTAAAGAATAAATTGATTTTTCAGAGGAGTCATTAAGCTTTACACGTCAACTAATAATTTTCATGACAACCGGAATAATAATAACAAAAAAGACACAAGGAAAGCGAAACGAAATGCGTGTTTCCAAGTTGCTCATAGTAAATATGATAAAAACACAACATAACAGCCATTCACTTAAGATGCCGATGCATATTGTACAGTCAAATCACAGTCCTCCATCTTAGGCTTCTTGGTAACAGAGGCGACATCACAGCTCGGAGTTTCATCAGGAGAATTTTCAGTTCCTGATACTTGCGATAACGAAGTCGAGGAAGCTGGATCTTGAGATTCAGTCGGTAGATTTTCAGAATGATCGAGGAGCCTTTTTCTGCTCCCTCCAGAACTCGGTGTGTTGAGACTTGCATGAAACTGCAAAATTGTACGACTCGTTAGTAAGAGAGACTTAAAGTCAGCAAAGAAATATGAACCTAAACAATATATTTAGATTGAGAAACAGATTTACAAATACGATGGCGTGTGTTATTTATAATTTTTTGCCAGTAGAGCGACCAAATTCCCACCCAAATTACTGAACGCAGTTGAATCTTTCCGATTTGAACAGTCGGGGACAATAATTTCACTACCTGCACTGCCTAGCAATTTGAAGTAAAATTCGACATCACGGCAAATCAACTAACTATAAACATTATAAAGATTCACGAACCACTTACCTTACAGTGCCCGGTGCCAATCAGGCGTCTCATTGTATTTATAATAAGTATATTCTAATATTAGATCATCCGTTATATAGACGCAATATTCACTGGACGCGGAAGAGATTGATGGATAGAAAAGTACTAGACCACGAGTCAGCGTCTCGACAAGATCACGTGAGCAAGACCACACTTCTGGAAGGAATAGGTCTATAAAAGGGCTGAGCACCTTAGTAAGGCCCCCATTAGTTGGCACTAACGCCGCGATGTAGCATTCATTGGCGCTACTCCGATCTAACGGTCGACGTCTTACCTTATACCTCTGTAATAACACTCATTTATAACAACTCCGTATCAAGATGCGTTTTATATAGAGAAGTGACTTACATATCACACACGTAGTTAGTCAACGAACACCTGTCCTCAGGTTCAGGCCGAACATATATTATTAATGAGGTGGCGCTCAAAATTGCCTCCCGACAACAGTAAAAACATTTGGAACCGCAAAAACTAAAACCTCATAAACCACTGAGAGAAAATATTACCTGGGCTCCAGTGTGCATCTTGAGCAGCTCCCTGAGCACCATCGTGGCGTAGGCTGCGGGCGGCAGCGAGAACCGCAGCACCAAAGCCTTAATCGGCGAACGAGCGCCCTCTGGAAACATTATAATGACAGCTATTATTTATAGGTTATTTTATTATGATCATAAAGAAGTAAAATTTCTCGTATGATTCTCGAGCCTGTATGTCAAATATTGGAAAGCAATTAACAATCATCGGCATTGGTTGTAGTTATAAATTTTTATTAAAACTATTAGAAAATAGAGGGATCGTCTATTCCGTCTTGGACAGCCCAGAATTTTACAGAACATTTCACACATTGTTCATTTAATTACTGTGAATTAAATCTTTTGGTCGAAACGTTTTTGCCAGTAGAGAAGGTAATTATATAAATTGTAGGACAGAATTTTCCCCTAACACAAACTGAGACAATTTAAACCGTTTATTAAAATTTCAATCAAGTGTTCAATTATAAATGCTCTCAATAAAAAATATATTCTATTTGTTTACGAGGACAATTGTTTAATCTTTCCACCATAGGATGTCACCACTTAGAAAATTCACCTGAATATCCCGCAACTGACATATAATAATGCACGTACTGCTTCAAACTAACCATCTGATTTTTCAGAAGTTAGTCCAGTATGAGAATCAATATGATTCTTTTCAGGCACGTCCCCAGTGCTCGGATTACTATTTCGAGATGAAGGCTTATCGTCATTTTCAGTAGCATCTTTGAGCGATTTTTCTTTTTGTTCACCGCCTTCCATTTCCCCCGAGACATTTTGCTGAAGTTCTGCATTAACAGCTATATCATGATTTTCTAAAATATTAGATGATTTGGTGCATGTGGAGCCATTGGTAATAGCTTGGGTAGAATTTTCTTCAAGAGGAACGCTTGTCTTGGAAGTTTTAAGGATGTCAGCGTCAGAAGGCACGAGAGGCAGTAGCGGGTCCGTGTAATAACAGATGCGGTGAGATAAGTTCTTAGGCACCACGAGCATTGCGCGGTACGCGCCACACACAGCATATCCTCTGAAAAATAACGAGCATTGTCACTACTACATCACCAACAAAACTTTAAAAGAAACGTTTCAAAAAAAGGTCAAATATAACATTCAATTTTGACTTCCAATTTAATGGCAGTCGTTGTTCTGCAAGAGGAGTTTGGAAGCAATACGAGGACGGCTATCGACACTTTTTAATTACGTTGTCGTGAGATGGAGGTCATACTGGTCGCAAATATGCAAAAATAATTCTGTAACACATTCTAACAAGACGACAGCCAAGTTAGCAATCCAACAAACACTGAAAGGAAAAATTCTACTGTCAATTTATTCAAGCTCAGATAGCTAAACGCGTAATACAATGCACTGTTACCGAAAAGAAGAAGTTGTAACAACGTATTATGCTGCCATTAATTCTCCCGATTATTATCAGTGATATTTGATCAACACTTTACATGTAGAAGCCATTAATGAATCGGCACGAAGACTAGACGACACGCCGGCGCGGCATACCCACTTGTGTTGGTGTTTGAAGCTGGCGAGGCTAAGGCCGTCTTCAGCGAGCAGTTCCTTGTACCATCTCGTCACGTCGTTCTCAGGCATCATCACTGCATAGCCCACCGCAGGGATCACAACCTGAGACAATCTTCACATTAAGACACGTATTAATACTCTAATACTGATGCGAGACTACATTCACATGGCCATATCATTCCCAGAGCTGACCGGAGGGAGCACCTTATGAAATCAACTTCCCTTGAGCAGCTAGATATGATTAGACCTTAAATGCTAGTTCGCTAGAAGTAAATAAAATACACTAAAATTTGCACTTGCTTCAAATAATATCTATCAATCATCACAATGTACGCTTGTCTTAAGGATATCATTGTTGAAACACTAACAAATTAAAAGACTATGGAGATTCCCAAAACTAAATCAAGTATGTGACTCTTGGAAGTATTTACGCTCATACGCACTAAGTAAGTAAGAACGCAGTTGCCAATTACATTACGACCAAAATGCATGGTCAGAGACAAAATTTATTTCATTAACTTCTCTTGCATCCTTAAGGCTTAAATCGCTACAAAAAACATAAATAAACCTATTGACGATATAGTGACACAGATTATTTAAAACTAAGACATAGGGGGAAATTCTGGAAGATTAGGCATTAGAATAAGACACAGAATGAATGAAGAAATCACATACAGTAATAGAAGGTTTCAGCGAAAAAAAAATCGAGAAAAACAGTAAAATGGCTATTGTGAACAGGCTTCCCATAGAATCTAAGAATGTAGAATGCTTCCCACAGAATGCAAGTCCGAATTTATTCGCTACCTGCTTGATGTCGGTGCTTGAGATTTGGTGTTCCTCGAGCCGCCTTACGAGCTGACCTGCCGAGGCTGAGGAGCTCTCCTCCGACATCGCCACCTCGCCTCCTGCGCAGACGAGGAGCTAATGTATCGACCAGAGTTAGGTACGTGTTTGTGACTCCATCAGACAATAACTGACAGCATGTCAAGCTATTCCCAACAATCAGAAGTCGGTCGCTACGTGTACATGGTCGCTACATGTACTTGGGCGAGTTTTAATGGTACGGCTTCAGTTCTTGATCTCAGCAGGCACTACTCCTATGAACTGTAGCGCAAGAGGTTGCAAACTTCCAAGACAAACGTTTGATACTGAGCCATAACACACATAATTCGAGTATTTCATTGAAATAATTGAGCTTGAAACATACGATGCTAATAAGCTGACTTTTGCTGGAAATTTTGAGGCTATTCATTGGAGTGATTCGAGGCTTTTCATTTATTCACGCTTTTCAATAAAGGAACGCTTGAAGTGTCAGCATAAGTGTACATTGTTTTTAATCAAATCTTGTTCGATGAACAAGTCCGTTTATAGTAGATGATACCAAATGAACTGCTGCCGAGAAATTCCTTTAATCCGGCCTCTAAATTGATGATCATTCACATAATTCGAATGAGTACAATACCAGTGTAAGGATGTTTTTTAATGTTATTCAATCTGTAGCTCAAAAAGTTAAGTGTACACGCATGGTAAGCATTATTATTACTCAGGAGCTTTTATGATACCATGTTTCATTGATATTTTCAGGCAATGGTCAGCCCTTCATTGATATTATGAAGAGCAAAACCATTTAAGGAAACGTGTTTCAAACGAAATTCTAACCTAAACAAAAATATGGAACTCATAAAATAATTGATTTCCTGATGGCACTAAAAGCCAACCCAGGAAACGGGCGTAGAGAATTGGTCAACAAGACACACCCTGCAAGCTCTCACGGACGCTGACGAGGTCCCCAGGCAGGACGGCGAGGCCGTGCGTCCTGATGCGAGTGCTGACTACCTTATTCCACAGGTAGGACTGGTAGGCGTACAGGTACAGCGTCCGGGTGTTGCGTGGTAACTGTACAATGACACCCCACACATAAGCTGGCTACACTTTAAACAGTAAACTTAGAATTGAAATAGCGACATCATAACGCGAAAAAAAATTGGACACTGCTCTTATTTATTCGTCAAATATTTTGGCAAAAGAGATTTATGGTAAAATTTATTCTGAAGTACGTGTATCATGATCAATCCAACTAACTTATTGCCGCAAAAATATCGTTAATCCAATAGAAAAACCTTGGTAGAAAAAAAGCTCATGCAGCATATTATTTTTCAGCCAAAAAAGATCATCAAATAAGGTTAACAAAAACAAAACACACAATCCTCAGCAAGATATCAAAATTGAACTAAAACTTGAATAGTATTATGCAGTTAATATTTCAAAAATAAATACGAGTTCAAGCATTCTAAGTCGCTGCTTGCTGAGTCTGTTGATATTAAATCAGGTTTCCTATTAATCAACGGTTCACTCTGACTAGGTCAATCAAGCCTCCTCGGTAGAAACACTCCCGTGAACAAAACTCAAGTCTCGAGGACAATACCGACTCTGTTGAGAGCTCCCAGCCAGTCAGTGTCGCCCAGCTCAGCGAGGGCGCGCAGCAGTGTGTGCTCGTTGCCCCTGGCGCCACAGGTCTCCAGCAGGCGAGCTGCCTGTGCTGCACTGATCTTCTTGTCGTGCCACTGCTGTAACGCCGCATTCTTGGCATCTCCCAGCGGACTAGGCTTCAGTATTGTCTCCACAGCCTGCACGCGAACGACATCAAGCCTTACTACTGATACAACTTTATGGAATGTGGGGCATTGCGCTGCCTCCGATAAAATCTTCATGAAATACACAACACTGCACTGCCTCATACAACTTCATGATACACGACACTGCACTGCCTCATACAACTGAATGAAATACACGACACTGCGCTGTCTCATACAACTTCATGATACACGACACTGCACTGCTTCATACAAATGAATGAAATACACGACACTGCACTGCTTCATACAACTGAATGAAATACACGACACTGCACTGCCTCCTGTTACTTAGCTAAATTGAAGTTTTTGCACTTGGTCTTGTTACCAATTTTTCAGAAAGAAGTCGCTGCACCGCACGTCTTCAACAAGAACCTTTACACTTCACTACATTACAGTGCTTCCTAGTGAACTAAATTAATACAGCACATTAGGCACAGCTCTTTAGAATTGTGTGTTCAACCGTCACCAGATCTGATCAAACAGCGGCAATCAATAGCATCTTGTGCACTAGGATTGCATTATGTTGTTTTTAGGAGATAATAAATTAACGCTTTATTTCACGACGACCACGGCCAGAATAATTTTATGATTTTCAGGTTTTGGATGATCAATAACGAATTCAGAAAAAATATAAAAATATCAGCCAGCGGATCCACTGCGGGTACATATAAATCTACACATAGAAGTGAACACAATGAGGAATGAAAGTGATTGAAGTGAGGCTTCAGCTGTACATGGCTATTTCTTATTCTGATGCTGGGCGAGGGAAGAGAAGCTGACGCGGATTGTCAATACACAACATGACTTTCGACTCCAGTTTGTAGGAAAAGTTGTGCTCGAGAAGAAGGTTAAAGAACTTCATATTCTTGTATTATTACTACAATTATGAGCCCTCGGGCAAAACATAGATTGATTTTTACCAACTAGTCTAATGGCATGCGTGGATACGGAGGAAACAATTTGAAAATTTCAGTAGATAATTAATTTTAATTATGATCCTCTACTCATACTCACCTTCTGCCACTGCGCCAGGAGCAAGTAGCGCCCCACGACGTGCGTGTGGCCTGCCCGCGACCCGAAGCGCTGCATGCCGTAGTAGTTGATGGCTCCAGAGCGCCCCACGCTGGCTACTGCCGAGGCTATTGCCGCGTCGTCTCCCTTCACTTCCCTGACGCCAATGAATTATCCTCTCACAATACAAGAGAATTGCACAAGTGACGAATACTTCTAGAAATTTCTGGTAAAAATGTGCAATTTCTCGATAAGGAAAGCATCACTACTACCCTCGACTAGCAAAATTTTGAGAACATTTACAAGATAATAGGTAATTTTTGTTTAGTATCATTCTATTGAAGCGTCAGAATAATTTTTTAAGGAAAAAACAGAAACGCATGATGCAGATAAGTATTTATCAGGCATCGATGCCTGATGCTAACTTATCTGCTAACAGTAGATTGCCAGGCAGCTACTGTTAATGGCCAGTTAATAAATTTAATGTAAAGCAAGAGGAAAAGTTTGAATTACGATTGATCTCGATTGTTCATTTCTTCAACTTGATGCTTACAGAATTGCGGGTCGGCTTCCATAATAAGCATAATGACCTTAATAAGCATTGCAAGGTGAACACATGTACCCACCTCAGCACTATAGTGAAGGCATTGCCGGCCAGAGCACCTAGAGCAAGATGGTGTCTGTGGTAGTGCAGGTTCCCTACCATCACACGAGGAATGCTTCTAGCAGCGGCGACCAGACGCTCCGGGGTTATCTGAGCGAGAACAAAATTTCAACACCTAACATAGAATAGTTGAGATGCGATCAGGCTGCACTGCTGGATGGGATGAAATCATTGCTTTTTGTTCGTTTCATTCGAAAAACTGATTAAAAATTATGTGAGAATTGCGATAACAAAGAATTAACCTCGTTTTGCCCATGCTTGTTGCTTTTTTTACAGGAAGTGATTGGAAGCGAAACGAATTTTGGATTTTTGCTTTTTTTACAGGAAGTGATTGGAAGCGAAACAAATTTTGGATTTTCCTGTGAAATGAGACAGTGAACAAAACATCAAAATAACTTTTGGGCGACATCAAAAAACAATGCACGTAAGCGGGAACGATTTATTGTCCCTTACAGCTAGACACACCACCAATAATTGAATATATCATTAATTAAATAATTATGCAAACACTCATGTCTTTCTCATGAATAGTAAGATTTAAAAATTATTTCCATTTTGAGAAAGGATTTGTCTTTGAGTTAATTTTGAAAAGCATAAAAAATCTCATTTAGTTTGAAGACCATCCTTATCACGGAAAATTTCAATTGTCATTACGATAGGAAGCAAACTTTTATTGAGAAAATACCAAAATGCACAACGCTGAAACTTAACAAACTAAACTAGTAAAATTTATTGATTTTATATATTCGAAACAAAGTTGATGACTTATATCGCCTCGGAAGCTGCCTTGTCTGTGTGATATCTTAATGCTTCTATAAGCTTGCGAGTTACTCACGTCAGAGACGGACATGCGTGTCAGTTACTCACGTCAGAGACGGACATGCGTGTCAGTTACTCACGTCAGAGACGGACATGCGTGTCAGTTACTCACGTCAGAGACGGACATGCGTGTCAGTTACTCACGTCAGAGACGGACATGTGTGTCAGTTACTCACGTCAGAGACGGACATGTGTGTCAGTTACTCACGTCAGAGACGGACATGCGTGTCAGTTACTCACGTCAGAGACGGACATGAGCTGCACTGTCTTGGCTCTCCTGTCTTTGGTGCCCGCGTAGTTGATTTTGTGCACGTTGATTCTAGGCAATAAAGAAAAGCATTTGCAAATTAAAAATAAAATTATCGTGTAGGTGAATATGCTTTTATGAGCTGCTAAACTACTGACAACATATATTTATTCTATGTCAAATTAAATCACAGTTATTCTATGTCAAATTAAATTCCAGTTATTCTATGTCAAATTAAATTACGGTTAGCAGCAAAATTATTCGTACACTCCTTTCTTTTCAATGTTTTCTTGAATAACTCAAAAATTATATTGCATATAAATTACAATATATTCACATTTTTTGAAAATTACATTTTCAGAAAAAAAATGTAATTTCAAAACGTTTCAACATGCAAAAATTACCCAACACTTTCAGACACAATTATTTATACAGTTGAAAAATACTAACATAGTTACAATATTAATAATCAATGGCATCTCCTTTCATACTGATATCCTCCAGCAGTATCTTTCTATAGTTCTTGATGAGATTCGCAGTCGTATCCGCTTTGTCAATGTCCAAATGGACATTTTTTTCGGTGACGTCATTCAAGAGCTGTCGGTTCCTACCATTTGACTACAAGCTTCAAGATGGGCAAGACGAAGAAGCTCTTTTGAGAGGCAAAATTATTGACCTACACAAATCTGGCTATGGTTATGGGGACATCTCGAAACGCCTGAATATTCCATGATCCACAGTACAGTCCGTGATGAAGAAGTTTGTAGAGTTTAGTATTGCACACACGTTGCCTGGGCGAGGACGGAAGCCTAAACTATCGGAACGTGCAGTTTGAAAACTGTGTCGTGAGGTAAATATGAATCCAAGAGTGGCGTTGAAGGATATTGCCAAGAGATTATCCAGTGAGGGAACAAGTGTGAGTCAGCGTACCATATACAGCGTTGTCTCAACAAGAATGCCAGCATGGATGCAGACCTCGACGAGTCACATAACACACACGACGTCATGTTGCTGCTTGTTTTACAGTCGCAAGCTCTTACATGTACAAGGGGAAGTCTTCTGGCGCCAAGTATTATGGGGTGACGAAACAAAAATTGAGCTATATGGACATAATAGTACAAAGAAGATTTGGCGCAAATAGGGGAGGCTTTTCTTCAGTAGAACACAATCCCAACAGTCAATGGAGGTGGGCTACTGATGTATTGGTTTTTGCGGCGGCAGCGGCCGCGCACGAATCGGATTTGCGGTGCCATTCGTGTCTGTTGAGCGGGACTAATTGGGGGGGAATATTGGGGGTCTATTATCCCCCCACCGTACCCCCCTGTGACCCCAACCCTACAATAACTGGGGATGTTATTTGTGGGGATGAAACCCCCCTGTTCCCGCCAACCTTTCAACTGGACTTATCCTTTAAGAATTTCACCTGCAGCTACGGATGCGAAGATTCCACAATTAATACTTATTTAAATAACTAATAATTTAGTTATTAATACCGTAATATTAAATAGTCACTTTAGATGATAGTATATTTAAAACTACTATATTTAAAGTATATACCGTACAGTATATATGAAGTATAATTATAGTAAATTACACCCACCAGAGTATGCCCACAGTAAAATCAAGAAAATAAAAACAAGGCTCAAGATATATAGGAGCAAGTAGATTTGACTGTAATTAGTAAGGTATTACGAACAGCTCTTCACAAGACACGTTCAGAACAGACTCACAATGGGCCAGTCTGCCAGGCATGGCGTCACGTGGGAACAAGCAACTGAGTAAACCCAATTGGAAACAAAGACTGCTCCACCTCTGAAAACCAAGAATTAAACTCAAATAAAAACAAAGACTGCTCCTTCTCTGAGAACCAAGAATTTGGTAAGTGGAACATATAAAAGAACCTGAGTTTAGCAGCAAGCCTGCTGACGGCCTCCATGGTGTCCATGTTCTCCTTGTACATCAGGAACCTGAGGCACAGACGCAGATGCTGAGCCGTGCGACGCTTCTTCTCGCGTCTCAGTCCAACTTCTGTTAAATAAACTCAGTGAGCATTGACATCAGAAATGCTACGCGGTCGACATAAACGAAGCAAATACCATTTAAAATTGCATAAATTGACCATCTTATTGATGATAAACTCATTGCTTCCTGACGGTCCTTATAGACACTAGAACCAGCCGGTACGAATATCATTGATGATGGTTGAGGTATCCATCATCAGAATGACCACGGAATTACAATTGCAATATTTTTATCCAGCAAAAATCCAGTACAAAAATTCCTCTTACACTCAAAGCAGGCTCACGAATGTTTGTATTAATTTTTATTGATAATGCAATTAAATAATTCACCTGAGCCGAGCGTGACCTTGATGTATTTCTGCCCCGCTTCATCAACAGTAGAAGAGATGAGGCCCTTGTAAGCTTTGTTGAAGTATTTGTGGATGGCGGCGCGGCGCTCTTTGCTGATGTCCGTCACCGGGACTAAAACAGGCTCTGGACAAAAAATAAGCCATATAATATCCATTAATAAGATCTGCAAGTTAACAAGTAAACTGATATTTAACTAGAAAGAGAGTTTCTAACTAGTGAATGAAAGCGGTAAATTGTCTAGTATCTGGAGGCAACTCATGTGATACATGGCCACCTTTATGGGATCAAACTAACAAGTAGTAGAAGTAGAACCAGGAATGCAATAGCATAAGTAGTCAAGCTGTACAATGCGTCCTACTGTATGATGCACAGCTTCTTTATTCAGCATAGCAAGCCAGTAAATGCAGCAGCCCCTGAGTGCAACAAAAAACAAAAGACCCTGACTCACCTGCACAATCCTTCGAGTCGCTGGTGGCCAACAGCTTCTAAAAAATAGTAACAAAAAATTAGAAAGAAAATTTATTGATAGGTGCATATGAAGTAATCATAAAGTATTTCCCTTCCATTATAACACTTCCCCATCAAAACTCCAATCAAAACTGTTTTGCTAGAACATTAATTTATGCATAAATATAGAATAATTACTTCATTCCATACTTCCTAAATCATTTCTGTTAAAATTAAAAGTATTTTTCATAAAACAAATGAGACAGTACACAATGCAATTAAAAATTATAACAAATAAAATTCCTAGAAGTCAAGGAATTCCAGATAAAAAAAATAACCTACCTGGATTTTCTCAATGATTTCTGAGCCAACTCCTTGCGGAGGTTCCAAATCAGAGGCTGGGACATCATTGGTATCATCTGATGAAGTTATTTTGGAGAATAAATAAATACAGTAATTGTGATATAATATGTATATACAATATTTTCAATTAAATTAACAATAATTTAATATTGAACAGAAGGAACAGCAAAACAACCCATAGTAAAATAATTTGATAGAAGTTTGATGAATGAAACAAAGGAATATTTTAAGAGAAGATAAATATAGATGTTACTGTAGATAGCCCTTGAAAGAGATGCATGCAGCTCAAAAAAGATGATATACAAGTAATTATAACAATAATTAAATAAATAATAATTATTTGCATTAATATCTAAATTAAGCAAGAAATTAACAGCAAAAAAAATGACAGGTATATGGTATCATCATATTTTTTCATTTCCTCAGTTAATATACCTAATTTAAGTTTAGTATTTATTTTACTTTATTTTATATTTTTTATAAAAACATTGCCTACCCTAATTAATAGAAAAAATTCACAATTCAAAATGTTAGAGATTTGATTGCTTGACTACCTTGGCAATTTTTCACGAAAACAAATTGCAATGGCGGAAAGAATTGCACTGGTAAAAGTTGCTATACTAATTGATCAGAACTGTGTACAAGATATCCTAGAAGAAAATACAGTTTATTGTTTAATTATTTCAAGAAACTATGAGGATGTAACTCTGAAACCACAATAGACCAGAGTCAAATTTGTTAGTATGAGGTATTACTTTTGCAGCAGGCTCAGCAAGAATTACTCAGGTGGAATTTCCTCATCACATCCAGTGATAATATATAAGGTCAGATTTTTCATATCAGAAGCCTTTAACACAAATAATAACATGGGCATCTAAGTAACCAATAACAAATACAGTGCATTCAAAGTGGCATGCAGCATGTGAAACCAATATCATATATTTGAGGTTAATATATTAGATTAGAAGGGACCTCCAATGAAGGAACACACTTTAGTTTTATTTACAGTAATTAAGGCTTTATTTACATCAAAAGAAGCACTTGCAATTTAAATACAACTCACCATCAAGATGGGGGCACTTGGGCATGCTCTTGAGGTCAGTGAGGTGCTGCTCTTCTCCGTTTACATCTATTTCATTCACGAGAAAGTCGGAGAATCTGAAAAAAAATGTAGGTAAATGAAGCTGATGATGGCCACGCAATTGTTGTACTACCGAATAGCTTAGCCATGTTCAAACATTCTCATCAATGTAAATAAAAACACTGCCATCATTTAATTGACAAACTCAATATAGCTAAAATCTTTTCAAGCACTAATAGAAAAGATTTGAGACTTGGTAAATGTAACACATAAAAGATGTGAAGCCATAGCAATATTGAAATCAAACAATATAGCATTCTTTCATTTTACACCACACATATCGTTTACACCTATCCAGGCATCTGATGTTGGAATAACATTGATTAGATGTCATTTCACCTAAATCAACTCAAAATCAAAATTGTTACAACATCATTTGTCTGGAGGGATGCACATCTACATTCTTAACTGACCTTTGCTTAATGATGCCAAAGAAACCAGGTGCATTCCCAGAAAATTCTGTAATTCCAACATCTTCCTCTGATAATGTATCATGTGAAACTGAAGCACTGTTATTCATGCTTAAAGATTAAAAATTTTTAATCAGAAAGAAATCTTCTGAAAGCATTGAAAACTTTAGTAAAAAATTAGTTTGTGTTGAATACCTTGAGCAAGATGGCAAGCTTTAGCTAGGTGGTTCTGCTGCAGCTCATATTACCAGGCTATTCTGTATGCATGCCTTATCTGGGCCAATTTATTCATTGTATTTGCCTCTGGCCTTGCCTAGTGTTTCCTTCCATTTCAGTCTCTATAACAGACACTTACAAACAAAGATGATCACTAAGTGCAAGATTTAGCTGTGCAAAAAGATATGTCTGATAGTCCAGATCACCTCTGTCTGTCCATGCTAGTTACTGTTTCACCTTGGCTACTTTTGCAACTAATCCTGCAAGTTCTGATAACCCATTAGAGGCTAGGTACTTTTGCAATTAATTCGGATCATCCAAACAGAATAAATTTGAAAAAATGCTACTTTTAATACAATCCAGTGGCTCAAAAGTCAAAGTCTTCTGATAAATTGTAACTTTTTTTGACAGAACTATTTGAGCACTGACCCTTTCTGGGCATCATGTTGCAGAGGTAGGTACTCTTTAAGGGGAGCATCTAGGCAAAAAAACTTTTTTCGGTACAGATGGATCATTTCGAAACTTGGTACACACATGTAAAATAGAAATCTAAGTCTTTTTTGTTTGTGTAAATTTTTTTTGAAAATACTAAAAATAACATGAAATTCGCAAAAAATGGTAAAAAAGAGGGTAACATCAAATGGGGTGATAAGGGACAGGCGGGGTAAATTGGGAAAGTTATCCCACATTTCGTAATAAGGGACACCCCCCCAGGGTAATAAGGGACCCTCCCCCCAGGCCCAGGGTAATAAGGGACACCTCTAAAAAAGCATTTACAGTAGAACCTCAATTAGCAAAGGCTCCAGTTAATGAAAAAAAAAAAACAATTAACAACATAGCCCCACTCCAGGGCAGAAAGTCCCACACTAGGGCAGAAAGTCCCACACTAGGGCAGAAAGTCCCACTCCGGGGCAGAAAGTCCACATTAGGGCAGAAAGTCCCACAGTAGGGCAGAAAGTCCCACAGTAGGGCAGAAAGTCCCACAGTAGGGCAGAAAGTCCCACACTAGGGCAGATTCCGGCAGAAAGTCCCACACTAGGCCAGAAAGTCCCACACTAGGGCAGAAAGTCCCACACTAGGGCAGAAAGTCCCACTGCAGGGCAGAAAGTCCCACTCCAGGGCAGAAAGTCCCACTCCAGGGCAGAAAGTCCCACTCCAGGGCAGAAAGTCCCACTCCAGGGCAGAAAGTCCCACTCCAGGGCAGAAAGTCCCACTCCAGGGCAGA